CCTCCCTCTCACCCTCCTCCCATTCTCCCTCGTGTTTCTCTCTCATCTCCCTTCCACCCCTCCCCCCCCGCTCTCGCCTTTCCCTTACCTCAATTTCACTTTTCTTCACCCACTCCCCCTTACCTTGCACTCTCTTACCTCTCACTCTCCCTCACCTACTGTTCTACTTTTCCTCATCTCCCACTCTCACCTATTTTCCATTCCTTCAAATTCCAGCTAATTCTCTTATACACACCCCAATTCCCACTTCCACACGCTTCCCTCCATCCATTCCTAAACACTCCCATTATCCCTCCACACTCACATCATTCCTGCACATTCCCCTCCCACACACCCACATCCTCCTACTCCCACATTTTCCCAGTGGATATTTGCTGGTGACGACTCAGTGTGATCGTCGGGCATATTGGCGGTCAAGCTTGTGACAAAGATGCTGTGTTTACTTGACGAGAGTCGCATAAAACCGTCTTTGTGAAGGATAAGCACAGATCTGTTGTGTTGTGGCTTGTTCAGTTCTGAGATATGTTGTGTTGTGGCTTGTTTACTCCTGTGACCTGTTGTGTTGCGGCTTGTTCAAACCTGAGATTTGCTGTGTTGTGGCTTGTTCAATCCTCAGACTTGTTTTGTTGTGGCTTGTTCAATTCTCAGACTTGTTGGGTTGTGGGTTGTTCAGTGCTAGGACTTGTTGCGTTGTGGGTTGTTCAGTCCTGGGACTTGTTGGGATGTGGGTTGTTCAGTCCTGGGACTTGTTGGGTTGTGGGTTGTTCAGTCCTGGGACTTGTTGGGTTGTGGGTTGTTCAGTCCTGGGACTTGTTGGGTTGTGGGTTGTTCAGTCCTGGGACTTGTTGGGTTGTGGGTTGTTCAGTCCTGGGACTTGTTGGGTTGTGGGTTGTTCAGTCCTCAGACTTGTTGGGTTGTGGGTTGTTCAGTCCTCAGACTTGTTGGGTTGTGGGTTGTTCAGTCCTCAGACTTGTTGGATTGTGGTTTGTTCAATCCTGGGACTTGTTGAGTTGTGGGTTGTTCAATTCTGCGACTTAATTTGTTGTGGCTTGTTCAATCCTGAGACTTGTTGGATTGTGGCTTGTTCAAATAGGTGGCATAAAGGACTCCGTCTTCTTTTATCACAAGAATGTTGGAATCGCTGGTCGAGTAAGGTGGGTAGTAGCCATCAAAAGACGAAACTGGTTACCAACACTATACTCGCTTGTGTATCCTACATTTCACCCCTGGTAGGTAGATGGAAATCATTCATGTTTATCCTGTGTTTTAAGCGCTGTGCCTTGATGCCAGTGACGGGCTCTTGATCCAAGGAATTAGGTGTCTTCTCCCTTTCCTACGATTGAACCTAATTGCCTTCCACTTCCCAGTCATTATAAAAGTTCTGTGAGTTTAGCGTTTCTTCCTGATTATAATAAAAAAAAAATAGTGCTGTATAGTCCTTGTGGCTTAGCGCTTCTTTTTTTATTATAATAATAATAAAAAATAGTAATAATCATTTTTACTATAAAACGAAACATGTAGTTTCAGATAAAGTGGTTAATAAGTAATTGCGTAATTCTTGAAACATTCATATATACCATATATACTTTAAGTGTTTCATTTATGAAGATAGCCTCTGGCATTTCTATTCTAACATTTACAGTGACAATAACATTGATAACTAATCATATACCGTCGATTATTATTTTTAATTATGTTTAGTGTATGTTTTAATTTTTTTAAAAAACCTGAATAATAATATATGATATAAATAGTAGTATGCAGTTATAAAGATAATTCAAGAAAAATAGAAAAGATGTTAACTCTTAATATTTAATATACTGAAGCAATAATTCGATGCTGAAAAAATGCAATTCTTAATCATTTAATTCCTTAACAAATTGAACGTCAGATGAATTGCTGATAAATAGAATTATATTCATATAATTTTGTTTTAATTTCTCGCTTTTTCATTATTAATTTATTACATATCTTGAGAAGTTTCTCTTAATACATGATTTATTAAACAACTCTTATAAATTTTGAAAGTGCAAAGCAGCATAGTCTTGGTCGACACTACCAGGGTCACCAACCCGTATCTTGAGCTTGTTGATATTTCTGTACACATTTTATTAATTTTGATTAGATTCAACAATCACGTGTTTGTTTTAATTAATATCTAACTGGAGTCGGCCAATGTGTTATAATATTAATAATAATAATAATGCATAATATTAAATGTTGTACAAAATATCTTTATGCTGACTATCGTTTCAGCCATTTTCATTATGTAGTGTTTACCAATACAAATTTCCAGCTTCACATTTTTATTTCTCTGGCTCTATCAATATCCTAAGGTTTTTGCATCATCGGCAAATATTTGTATATACATGTATTTACGAGTGTATTAGCCTGGTACCTGGGTAACGAACAATTTGCCAGTCGGGCAGCGACGGGTTTATAGGTTAGGTTGTTATAGGTTAACATAAATTGACCTATAAAAACTTATGTTTAACCACAAGGAAATTGGTAATGAAGTTGGCACGTCTGGCAAGGCGTGTCATTGTCTTGTTAGGTTTGGACTCCCGGCTGCTGATCAAATAGCCTCGCTTATATATTTATTCCTTCTGGTTAATTATTTGTTGTAAACTAATCAAGTAAAAGTGAGCACCTATTCTTGCGAGACCTCAATATGATATCAACCAATGAAGACATTTTCTCTCATCATTATTTTCTATTTATTTCTAAATCAAATCTTATCCAATATTATTTTATTTTAAAATAATTTTCAGAAGTTTTATATAAAATGTAAGTAAATTTTTGTTTGCCATCTTGTATAATTTATATTACTATCAAAATAACTCGATAGATTAAATAAACAATATTTAGCTCATGAAAAATTAAACCGCATTTTACTTAGCACATTTTTATCCTTGTATGCGTATTGTTGAGCCGGGGACGGGGGCCGAGTCTCTGCTTCAGGATCCTTTTAACTGTAGACGGCTGCTTTTACTAGTCCTGCATTGTCGTACCCATGCTCAAAACTGCGATGTTTGCTTCCACCACCTCGTCCAATTGATTCCACTTCTTGAATACCCAGTTGAAGAGGGAGAATGGAGTGTTGTATGAGATTACTTTATAAATAGGCAGTGGGTAATGTTTTTCTAGTTCCTCATCTCATATATGCAAGAGTAATTAAAGATAATTTTTCACGCATAAGAATTTGATTCTCAAATAGCATTCCCTCATATTTAAATGCTAATATTTACTGGACGTAATTTAACAGAAGATTATACTGTTCTGGCATGTAAATTTAGGAGAAACCTTAATAGCCACAGAAAACGTTCGTTTCCTGTACACCGCGCAAATGTCTGGGAAGGTAGTTTTATTCTTCATAAATATAGGAAAGGAGTATAAGCGAATCATATTGCGAAGATACTTTTATAGTGCTTGTAGGTGTGTTTTGTAGATAATGTAGACACATAATTATGCTCTGGATGGAAGCAACTTAACTACCCTTCTTTATGAGTGTGAAACGTAAGTAGTACAGTACGGTAGTCTTGTAGACATCAACCATCCAGGGAGGTATTATCATGTCATATGAGCAAGAAACGAACCTGTTAAATTTTGTTGCGCGTGCAGGGATAATGGTGTTTTCTTTGACTAAACTATGTAAGATGACATGAGACTCATACAAACTTCTACTTAAATTCTTGTGTTTCCTAATTGGTCGTATTCCTTTAATATATTCTTTCTAATTTACGTGGCCTGATCGTAGACCGTGCCGCGGAGGGCGATGATTCTGGAAATTATTAACGGATAATAGATATAGTGCCTCACACATATTACCTGCATCACCTTGCCTACCTCATGTGTCTTGACGTGCCTCACGCATATTACCTGCATCACCTTGCCCACCTCATGTGCCTTGACGTGCCTGACACATTACCTGCATCACCTTGCCCACTTCGTGTGCCTTGACGTGCCTCACACATATTACCTGCATCACCTTGCCCACCTCATGTGCCTTGACGTGCCTCAAGCATATTACCTGCATCACCTTGCCCACCTCATGTGCCTTGACGTGCCTGACACATTACCTGCATCACCTTGCCCACTTCGTGTGCCTTGACGTGCCTCACACATATCACCTGCATCACCTTGCCCACCTCATGTGCCTTGACGTGCCTGACATATTACCTGCATCACCTTGCCCACCTCATGTGCCTTGACGTGCCTGACACATTACCTGCATCACCTTGCCCACTTCGTGTGCCTTGACGTGCCTCACACATATCACCTGCATCACCTTGCCCACCTCATGTACCTTGACGTGCCTCACACATTACCTGCATCACCTTGCCCACTTCGTGGGCCTTCACGTGCCTCACGCATACCTGCATCACCTTGCCCACTTCGTGTGCCTCGACGTGCCTCACGCATATTACCTGCATCACCTTGCCCACTTCGTGTGCCTTGACGTGCCTCACGCATATTACCTGCATCACCTTGCCCACTTCGTGTGCCTTGACGTGCCTCACGCATATTTCCTGTATCACCTTGCCCACTTCGTGTGCCTTGACGTGCCTCACGCATGTTACCTGCATCAAATCGCATCTGGCAAACACTATGGACCTAGCCACTTGAAACACCCTATCAGCACAGCACACCTGTGGTATGGGTTTGTTTCTGCAACATAAACCCATTTCAACATACAAACCATTGGGGTGTATGTATTCAACAATAACCACCACTTCTCGGTTTACAGACCATTAGGATGTGTCTAGTCAACAATTAACACTACCTTACAGCATGTCATAAGCACCATAGCGTTACATTATAACGTATCTTGTGTAGTTTTGACTATAAAATCAAACCAGGCATAACGTTAATACCCTGTGCATTTACGTACAGTACGAATTATTTTTTACACCTCACATGAGAGCGTATAGAAACTAGTGTAGCAGCAGTGCCAGGTGTTGCAACTCTTGTAGCAGTGATATCAGGTCGGTGTATCAAAAATGCCAGGTCTGTAGTAAACGGTGTAGCAGCTGTTGTAGTAGTGATGCCAACGTGCTAGTTGGTATGTCACTGGCGGGGAGCTAGATGCTCATGGTAACTTAATTAAGCAAATGTCTCATTAAGGGGAGCATGAAGGAGTGTATGAACAAAAGGAAAAAGAACGAGAGAGAGAGAGAGAGAGAGAGAGAGAGAGAGAGAGAGAGAGAGAGAGAGAGAGAGAGAGAGAGAGAGAGAGAGAGGGAGGGAGGGAGGGAGGGAGAAAGATGGGGAAAGAGGAAAGTGGATACGACCTTGGGAGGATATGCGGGCTTAGAGGTGCTGGCTGCTCCTCCCACCTCCCCATGTCCCTGTAGTTAGATTTACAGACCCGCAGTTTCCTTACCACCTGCTCCCCTTTCTCCCTCCTGCTTTCCATGATGTCTTTTCTTCCCTACTTTATCTTTCCGTTCCTGACTACCACTACATATTTTTTAATTCCTATTTCCTTTCGGTGCTGTACTTTTTTTTTGTTTTCAGCGTCCTAAGTCAATATCTGGCACCTTTCCCTCCCTTCCCCCCAGCTTATATTTATATTGTGAGCGATGATTATTAAGACTACAATATCAAATTGAATAATATAGTTAGTCCAGTTTGTACAATGTCCTGTATTCCTGAGATGAATAAACAAAGCACTGCAATCCTGTCGAGCAGTATAAATATGTAATCAGTATAAATATACATGTACTATATTTATACTGTTTCAGTTTAGTTTGGTCTAGTCCACTCAAGTGAAGTCTTGTGCACACGGCAGGATGGATATGGGGCTCTAATATAATTGCAAAATCATAAAACCATGAATCTCTCTCTCACTCTCCTTCCCTCCCTTCCTCCCTCCCTCCCTCCCTCCCTCCCTCCAACTTCCATCCGCTTTAATTTCTGATGGATATTTAAAAACTTTTGATTAAAGAATTTGAGACGAAATTCACATTACTTTAAATAATTTTGTTTCTCAACGAACCGGCCGTATCCCACCAAGGCTGGGTGACCTAAAAAGAAAATCGAAGGTTTTCTTTTTAAATTTAGTAATTTGTATAGGAGAAGGGGTTACTAGTCCCTTGCTTTCGAAAATTTAGGCGCCTCTTACGGCACGCATGGCTTACTGAGGAAAAATTCTTTTCCACTTCTCCATGGAGGTAAGAGGCAATAAAGAACAAGAACTATTAAGAATATAGAAGAAAGCCCAGATGGATGTACATTCATGTGTAGTGTCACCTAATTGTAATTAGAAGTACCAAGATATACCTGTTATCCCTCGTGTTACGTTAAATAATGTTTCTGGTAATTTGCATGAGTTATTATTTGATTGTAATTGGTTCCTTACATTTTATTTGTAATGTCTTCTGCCATTTTTCTTTGCACGTCGTCTGTGAGTTCGTTTTTACACCATTCCCTCGTGTCTTTTTGCTGGATGATGTATATCCGTTTTCCATTACATGTTCTCTGTTGCATGTTTTCTGTGTGCTTTTATACATTAACAAGTATTTATGTATGTGATGTTATATGGTTTAGATCTGTTACTCATTGTACAATATTGAGAGTGCGTTTTACGTATTCTGTGTGGAAAATTGCATTTATCTGATTGTAACTAATTATGTACATAACAGTAAATGATAACAAAGATAATTATTATTTATCAATGTTACATAGACAAGTAGGAATTTAGGACACCTAGGTCGCAAAAAATGTCCCCCTTCGATACCTACCACTGTCATAACCACAAGTTGCTCTGGACCTATTAATTAAATGAAATATACATACACCAGGAATACTGGTAAATATATAAATTTGTGGACTGTATATTAAAAATAATAAATGGTTATATTTATACACAATTACATAACAGAAGGAAAATATATCTTAATATCACTCACCAATTTGACTGGAGATTAATGTGTATCATACTCAGAAAACCTCTCTCTAACTAAATCTATGAAAATAATGCTGGCCAGAATTACACACAAATCTAGAGAGCTTATCTGAGGTTCCTGGAGCTGTCTTGTCCAGTCGTCTGATATCTCAAGTTATGCAGGAATGCACATCCACCAGTTTCGCCTCCTATTTGAGAGGTGTCAACACAATTTTAACCTCTAGAGCACGAAAAATTCTTCCCATTACACCAACGTTTGTACAAAATTCAAAACCAAGATGGCGAGTCCCGTCTGCGCAGACACAGGCTTTCCGTTTTCTATGACAAATATTATTAAATACAGTATGGCCATCTATTTACATATAAATACTGAATTTCTGGAAAATATATACAGTATTTTCCACATTCTGTCTGTTGTACGGTATTTTTTGCCAGTTAACTTTAATTGATGTGAGCTGTCTTTAGTTTGATTACCCTCAATGTTGTCAGGGTAATTACCTCTGACTCTTATTTACTTCAGTCATAAACACCTAGTGAATCCTTCGACTAAATCTTTTTCGCCCCTATAAGAAATATTTGTTTTGCTCATGAAACACTTTAGTTTCTAACCTCATTCGTAGATGGGTACCGGACTAACACAGGTGTTTGCTCTCTCCCTTTCCGTCTCTCTCTTTCAGGGAGTCCCCGTGGAGTGTTTCCCTACTTCATCTTAATCATCCGCACTTAAATCATTAGAGTTCTGGGGCATGACAGCATAGTATTACAACTTTATAATGACCTTTCTTGGTCCGTCTCGCATCGTATTTGTTACCTGGTATATGTTGCATGGTTAGTATTGCATCGTACGTATTGTATCATTCTTACATCATCCATGCTATATCATTTTTATCATGTGAATCGTCCATTTCGAATCTCCCGTTTCTTAGTTCTGCGGTATAAATTATTGTACGTGGCCTTGTAGTGATATATAGATACTCTTCACGTGGCTATATGATGAGGTACAAGCATCCTTAACAATGCCAAAATTAACGGCGCTGTAAATGTTCTCATTACTTAAAACATTGGCAGAGTTCACGTAAAAAAACTCTACGGTTCCATCTTCTCATGTTTAATTACTGGAGTTAAAGAGCATCGATTGTTTTTATATTATGTGAAACTAAAGTTTTTTTTATTTTATTTTTAATATGGAAGGGTTCTTCATATTACTTTTACCTTTCTTTACATACAGTGTCTTCTTTCTTATTTGCTGGTTTTTTTTGTATGTTCCATATGGTTCATTTATGAGCATTTTTATGTTCTTCATATTTCTCTCTCTCTCTCTCTCTCTCTCTCTCTCTCTCTCTCTCTCTCTCTCTCTCTCTCTCTCTCTCTCTCTCTCTCTCTCTCTCTCTCTCTCTCTCTCACACACACACACACACACACACACACACACACACACACACAGAGGGTTTGGCAAGGTTAGGTTAAGGATCCCTAGCGTTATTGACAAGCTATTTACAGGTTAAGGATTCCTAACTTGATTGACAAGCTAAGAGCTATTACCTACATCAGCTCATTTGAAAGCATTTTTATTGTTATGAGACATGCAAGTAGGGAACAGGATGAAATTGAAGCCATCTGTGGGCCAGCATTTTCATTTGATCAACTGACTTTATCTCATTGACATCATAATGCTGTACGAATGTGTTCCATACTCGAGTCATCCTGGGGATAAATGATCTCGGATGAAGTGATGTTCTGGAGAAGGGTACAGCCAGAGTGAAGTTACTGCTTTCTGCCCGTCTTGTGTTATATAAGCTTGCTTCACGCTGTCCTCGAAGTGGATCCAAATGTGGTACTTTGACAATATTGGCCTTGTACATAACAGTAAGGCCTCCCACATCCCTCCTGTGTTGAAGGCTCTGCTGAAATGACAGATCTATCCAAGATTGGTCCAGGCGAGAGATGAGACGTCTTGTTCTGTTCTCTACTCTTTCATGCAGTCGCAGATGAGAGGAAGGGGGGGGGGCAGGCAAACCAAGAAAGTGGAGCATACTCAAGGTGTGAGCGTACTTGTGCCTCATACAGATCTTGCAACCCCTACTGTCAAGCAGATGTGAGATGCGGCGAAGTGCCGTAAGCTTCCTGGCTGCCTTGTTTGCAAGATTTACAATGTGGTTCTTCATGTTCAGTTTGGAGTCAAATTTCACCCCAAGGATATCAACTTCTTCCCCAGGTGCCAACACCCTCCCATTCATCCTTACTACTGCACCGGCATTACCATCATGGTGCCTAGAGACCATCATCATTTGTGTTGACTCAGGTGCAAATGTTACTTGTCATTTATTTCCCCAAGCTGACATAGCTCTTAGCTGGTGATTGATGTAGCTTATAACAGCTGGCATTTCTTCTCTTGGATAAGTGAATGTCAGTGTACAGTCGTTTGCATATGCATTGGATTCTGGGACGAGATGAAGGTCATTGAAGTAGACATTCCATAACAATCGTCCCAGCACGCTTCCTTGTGGAACACTTACCCCAATAGGATGTCTTGTTGATTCCGTTCCATTGAGAACTACACTTAGAGATCTACCATGAAGGCAATCACTGAGGAAACAGCGTAGAGCCTGCAATTCTCAGAGCTTGCTGTTTTGCTAAGAGGCCCCGGTGCCACACTCGGTCGAAAGCACCAGCAATGTCCAGTGCTATCACACAGCTGACTTTAGATTCATCCAGTGACTGGTGCCACTTAGTGGAGAGGTTTAACAACAGATCAGCAGCTGAGTAACCTTTGCTGAAGCCATATTGACGGTCACAAAATATTGAGTGGTAGTCAAAAAACTCTGTCATTTGTCTTGAGATGATTGTCTCAAGGATCTTGCCAGTGATTGACAGGAGTGACACTGGTCTGTAGTTGCTGATTTCTGCTCTGCTCATCTTTTTGTGAACAGGGACTACATTTGCCTCTTTTCACAGAGAGGGCCATTTACACTGTATTAGGTAGTGCTAAAAGATGTGAGTTAGAGGTGCTGTAAGCTGGCCTGCACATCTCAACAATGTTGGGCTTAACTTGTCTGGGGCCACAGCCTTTTATTGGTTTAAGAAGGAAATGCACCTCCTC